GCCTGGTCTACATACAGGGCTTACGCTGGTACAACCGTTGGTTAGGGATACGGTTATTTATTTATTTTATTTATTACAGAAATTGTTGTCCAACCCCCAGTGTGGATGCTTTTTACAGATCCAGACTAACACAGCTACCCCTCTGATACTTTTCTACCAGGATAGCTTATGTCCTTCCTGTATGGGAATAAGCTATACTAGTATGACTGCATCCACACTAGCAAAGTTGCAACACTTTAATTATACCAGGGTCACTGCATCCACACTGGGGAGGGGATGAGGGAGGAGATTTTAACTATAGCAGTATGGTTAGAGTAGTACAAAGTGATACAAGTTACGTGTGGGCAAGTCCTTATTTGCTCCCCATTGTGCATTTTAAAGCTGTGTAATGCAACAGGAACACATGGGTGGGTTTTAATTTGCTATTTAGAATCCAGAGAACATTTTCCATCCCGTTATAACAATTGTATTCATTGGTCAAATGCAGGGCATAAATGAATACGATTGTTCCATTAACCCATAGCTCTTAAAGGAAAATGTCATGTCATTTTGAAAGTGCCTCATATATGTAATACAAACAGATCTCTGGTGAAGAATGTACATTTCTACAGGCATGCATCACAATTACATTTTAAAAGCCACCCACCTATGGCTGAGGAAACTGGTTCAGCAGTTTCACTATGAAAAATCGCATTACAATTTATACAGGGGGAATCAGCAGTAACACCTTTGTTGTGGCCTTTGTCAATTGCTTTTGCGAACAGTGGCTTTGCATACTAAGAAATACAGTTCTAACAGAGACTTCCAAGCCATACTCTGCAACAGGCTTCATCTCTTCAGACAGAGACATCTCAGTGCAGAGCTGCTGATAGCAAAAAATGCTTGTTTTCTTGTGCTCTCTGTTGGTGGCTCTGCATGAGGCAATAAAGGGACAAATCCTTTCTCCCAAGCTGTGCTGAAATTTGTTGAATAAAGTAACGCATAGAATTTCACATCCCCTCAGAGATCATGCACTAGGACTTATACTGCAAGTGTTTAGAAAAAGTTCCTGCTCTGATGCATCTTTATACTCTAAATGTGGATACAGCAGGCCACAGCCTAAAGTTATTACTCAAATAAATAGCTGATGGCAATGGGGAATTTTGCTTATGGGTTGTATTGTGTGTATGGAAAAGTCTCCCTATGGCAGCAGCTAATGTTCTAAGTTATAAAAGCTACAGGGCTTCCACAGTCGGCCCCCCCCCCCCCCAAACGAGGCAGTGTGGGCATTGCTGGATTCCCTCCACCATAACGTGGGTTCTGAATGCTGATGAACACGTGTTCTTGTTCACATACCTACAAAATCCCTTCCCTCCCTTGCCCAGCATGAATGATGGCTGTTGCTGTCAGTACTATGGATATACACAATTTAAGGAGACCGCTACCCCAACCTAGAAGATGAAGTGCTAGACAGCAAAACCTGTAACTTTGTGGTGGTGTGTTCAGTGTGCATATTTCTGAACAGGCAGGGTATGTGCTCTGTAGATCTTGATGAAGATTCTGTGTGAGCCGAACCCTGGTCTCTGGATTGGGGGTGAGAGTGTAGGGGTCTTATGAATTTAGCAAGGCAGTCTCCTTGGGAAAAGCCCACATCATGAGGTGCTGTGATCACTGGTGCTCAGGAGTGAAGGGCAACATAGGCAAACTGCTTAAATTCTCAATGCCATGGCAGACTATACCAGAATATATTCAGGGATTGGGATAATGCTCTTGCTGCAGGACAAGAGTAGTTCCTTATCTTGAATCTGCTCGATAAATTGGAAGCCTTGCAAGGGTTTGGACTTACAGTTCTGACTCCTCACTGACTCACCAAGAGATCAGAGTGTCCTGGGGAGATGTCACTGTAAAGGGGAAGGGTAAACCATTGCCAGGAGGCAGATCAGGCCCTGGGCACTGATCTCGCTCCTTACAGAACAGCACTTGCTGACCAAGGTAGGAGGCTCATTTATTTTAAATTTGCTTGTTGGATTTTTGTTGGCACTGGGGCATTTTTCAGCAGCAAAGGCAGAACTCCTCTGGGGGCTGGAACAAGTCTAGGATATGTCATTCCGGAGATAGAGACATGACATGAACCAGGCTTTTCTTTTCAAGGGCGCAGTAAGAAAACATTCTACTTAACTCTAAAAACTGAACACCTGGGGGGGGGGGCGAAAAAGCCCAGTGGCTGACGCTGTTGTGCCAGAACTCAGTTTCAATTCCTCTCTGAGCTGGCTCCCTGCCCTTACAAGCACCTAGGGGAATGCACTAGTTGCTGGCTATGTCATGGTGTTCATTTACAAGTCAGGCAGCTAAGGCTTTGGTTTAAACAAGATTTGTAACATCCCTAACGCACTAGCTGAATTTTTCTGCAGCAGGGAAAGTAGGGTTTTCTTTGCTGCTCTTTACCTCCCTTGATCTTTCCACCTCCCTGCCACTTCGCTGTCATGCTGCTGATTTTCACACCACTCAGCTCTTTCCCCCTCTTGTTGGATACGTGATTCCAGTCTCAGCCTCCCAGCACTAATGCAAGTCTTGAAGAACAGAGTGCAGTGAACAGACACGTGCAAGGAACAATAAAGGAGGTCAGATCAGAAAGATCCGAAGAAATGGAAGCTGTGCAAAAGTCAGTATTGTTCTTAGCCTAATTGCTGAAGTTTGAGAGCTTTTCAGTACAATACTGTTTATGAAAGTTCCAAAATTAATCCTCTTGTCACCTCCACTTGCAGACAGAAAGATGAATAAGATGCTACTTCCCACTGCAGATATAAGTAGCCCTCCCTGTCCATCACTCCAGACTGTGTGCATGTCTTTCTCTGGTGGCATATAAATCATGCATTGGGTAAGGTGGCTTCAGACTGCAAGCAGTCAGGGGCCTGAACTTAGCTTCACCATCACTTCTAGCTAAAGGTGACACACTGAGGAAGCAAAGCAGGTAGAGTCCAGTGGCCTAGGTGGCAGGAGACCGGAGTTCTAGTCCTTAACCTTCCCCACCTGTAAAAGGTGGTAATTGTACTTGTCTTTCTTTAGATAGTTGTTTGGATTCCTTTAATGAAAGGCATTACCTAAAAAGTGTCACTGATTGTGATCTAATAACCCTGCTCTCTTGCCCTTTAAACAGGTCAGATAATGCCTTGCAATGTGTGTGGTGCTAACTTTGGATAACAATCCATCCAGCAGACACGGCTGCAGCGGTTGTGTAAAACAATCTATGCTTCCTTAAATTAGCCAGACTCCTCTTCACTAACCCTCCCAGCTTCTGCAAGTGCCATGTAGGGTAAGGATATGACCATCTCGGTCATCATATTATACTTTTTTTCTTTCTTCAGTCAGATACAGCCCAAGGCCAGGCAGGCTTGTATATATCTCATCATCAAAGGCTGCTCCTCCCACTTGCCATAAGAGAGCTGGAGCACTTATATAGAAAGCTGTGTGCAGCGTGGCAGATAAGCTTATTGTCTGAATTCATTAAAGGGTATGTTGTAAACCTTCAGCAGTTAAGTATTCAAACCTATGTCTAGCCTCCATGCATTGCTGCCAGTGAGCTGTTCAAAAACACAGACTTTGGAATGCTACTTCACTGGCTAGCACAGCTGTTGGCAGAAGGGAATGAATGAGATGGTATCTGAATTGAGACCCTCTCCTCCTGAGACACTGCAGCTGGATGAGAGCTTCAGTATCCTCCATTAGCCTAAACTGAATGGCATGTTCTTACCTTGCCAGCCAGGAATGGTATCGTTTCACATCGGTGCTCAAGGGGCTTAGGTACAGTTTGACACTGTTGCCATGGCTGCGCTGTTTCACTATAGAGGAGAGGTTTTAATGTAGTGTCGCTTCTTGGGCTGCTGAAGTTGTAAACTACAAATTTCCCCCAAGCTGCTTTCTAAAAGCTGTCAAATTGTCCTCAGAAAGCACCTCCGCCACTTTGGGTACAGCTGCTACATTTCTAATTAAGGAGGTTTGTTGACTTGGATGAGGCAAACCGAAGTCTGACACTGACATTTTAGCTTTGGCAGCTGGAGCTTTTAGATGCCTTCTCCCACTGGGAGTCATTCCAGCTTTTCTGAAATGGGGACTAGAGCATGCTGAAGGCTTAGCAACTGCAATTGCCCCAGCATCACTGAAATGCAAGTGTATTGCACCTAGCATCTCATCTTCTCCCTAGGAACCTATGCAGGAAGAAGTAAGAAACATTTTTGCCAATATAATTTTTAATTGATCTCCTGCCATAGTTACAGGAAATGTTCAAATCACTGACGTCATGACTCTTCCCTAAATGTTCTCCTCTGCCTCTAGGCCCTTCACTATAGCAAGGACTCTGATTTTAGAGTGGTAGTGTAGACAAAGCAAAAATGGATAGATCCCTTTTAAAACCAGTCTACTTGAATCAGCTTTCAGCAAGTTTAACCAACCAGGCTATAAAAAAGAGTTTATAGATTTCTTTACCTTGTTTATACCAGCACTCTAAAGCCATTTTTAAAACTTTTTTTTTTTTTTTTTTTTTTTTTTTTTTTTGGCAATTTTT